CAAATTCATTGCTGAATATGCCCACGTGGCTCCCTCTGACTGGTATGAGCAACGCAGCGCCCTACTGAGGTTGTACCATCGCGATGGAGAAAAATGGACTAGGCAAGTTATGTTCCATAGTACTGACCAGAGGTGCCCCAACCTTTATTTTGAGGAATTCAATTTCACTTCATATCCTTTCTCCTTGAGACTGCAGTACAGTTTATTTCAGGTCATACATGATGTAATTGTGCTTATAAACCTTCAAATAAAGTTGAATTGTTGAACTGCATTAAACGTGTGACTGGTGTTGAATGGAAAAAAAAATACAGAACAAAAATATGAACATATAAAAATATGAACCGTTACCAGTATTTTCACTGTTCTTATTTGTTAGCCAAGGTATTGCTAGTTAGCTGTGTCTTCTGAGCTTTAAAGCATTAGCTAACCAGCTACATAGCCTTAGCATTTATATTGCTTCCTTACCTATTTGTAATGACTAATGTACTGCATTAATTAATACTGTCATGAGAATTTTATATACGTAGTAGTAAACACAGTTTGTGCCCTCTGTGGAATTCATTGTCTGTGATAAAATTGGTTGCATTGTTTTGCTAGCTCCGTAAAGTGAGGTTGATATTGTACATTGAGCGGAAATTCGCGTTTCGCCCCTCCTCTCGCTCACAAACAACTCCTAAAATTTCTGAAATAACATTTTCTAAATCGTGGTAAAACAGACAAAGAACTACAATCATATTTCGCCGAAGTACCCGATTTGACCTCCGTGAAGCTGGCCCCCCATGTGGTCAGAAATGGAATAATTTGTTTGTGCTGGTTTGTGGCGTAGAAATCATCTTTTGTGCTGGCACCGTTTTTAAGAAATTAAACATTACATTTTATTGCCTGTGACGTCACGCAGCCCCCCAACAACGCCCAAATCACACCAATGGGGTCTCATTCGTTTGTGCTGGTTTGTGCCGTTAAAATTAATGTTTGTGCTGTTTTAATTATCCAGTTATAAAGCCTCAAATGTTGGACGAGTGACGTCACGCAGCCCCCCATCAACGTCCAAATCACACCAAAATTCCAGAGTGGGATAAAGCCCACATGGGTCACTGTTAAAATCTGTGTTCTTGGTGGTTCCAGTAAATATTCGTTGATATTTGATGAGCATTTTAACAAGTCACACATTAACATGAGCTCACATGATACACTGACCTCACAAAACTCTTGATCCGTTTTGAAAATGTTTTTAAAGAGCAAAGTAGTCATTTCTAATCATCACTTTTAGTTCAGCTCTGGACTTCTACTCAGTGCAGCGCTGAAGCTGAATAATTGAAGGTGAAAAGGCCAGATGACCGTGTAGTGATCAGGGTCAGCGGCTGCTCAGGAGGCAAAAAGGCCTTTCTCAGATCTTCACCATCAACTATTGTCAATGCTGTGGTAAATGATGTCATCTGTAGTGACAAAACTTGTTTCTACAACAACTTAAGAATTAAAAGAGCACAAACGTTTCTTTTAACGGCACAAATCAGCACAAACGAATGAGACCATTTTGGCGCGATTTGGATGCTGACGGGGGCGGAGTAACGTCACTTATTAAAAATATTTTTAGCTTATAACTTGATAATTAAAACAGCAGAAATGTGTCTTTTAACGGCACAAATGCAGCACAAACGAGTGAGAACCTTTTGGTGTGATATGGACGTTGATAGGGGGCTGCGTGACGTCACAGTAATGTTTAATTTTTAAAAACGGTGCCAGCACAAAAGATGATTTCTACGGCACAAACCAGCACAAATGAATAGTAGCATTTTTATTCCATTTCTGACCACATGGGGGGGCCAGCTTCACGGAGGTCCCGATTTGTCCATTTCGCCAAATACATTTGATTGAAAAAGCCAGAATCGGTACAGCAGGCGCCGAAAACGTTAAGGGACCGTCTGTAAAGTTCTGGTACTGCTTAAAAACGTAAAACATCCACATACATGAGAAGCCTGTTGGTGTTGTTGATAAAGACTTAAAACTTACTGAAATACAAAGATGATGTGAAAATCAATACCTAACATTAAAAAGTATATTTTAGCAAATTAGGCAGTCTAAAGGTGCATGTAGTGGACCTGAAAATTGAATTGTCACAACTCTGCAACATATTCTAGTTTTGAAAAATGTCACCAACATGACTTGGTGAAGTTGTATCATGCTTTATTAGGCCGTTATTTAAAAAAAACTGCTGCTTTTACAAAGCTGTGGGAAAAAAAACACACAAACTACACAAACCTACTGCAAAAAAAAAATCACTTGTACTTAACATACAAATAAAATACAAGCTTTGGTTTGATAAGATATGCCTTCATTACATTTTAATTAAGTTTTAAATTAGTACCATGAGACGTCCATATGACATACAGATCTAAAATCACTTGTAGTTTACAGAGACACGCCTGGCAAATATACTACAACCATTAGTTTGGTAAAAAAAATAGGATTTCAACGAATTTTTTTCTAGCAATAAATTACTGCCATCACACCTCCATATGACTTAGATCTAAAATCACTTCTAGTGTAATGAGACCCAAATCTGACCAGGATACTGCAACCTTAATTTTTGTTAAATCTGCCAAGGATAATATAAGTGATTCTTAGATTAGCAATATATTACTAATGTGACGAAGCTGTTCAACAAAAAATCACTTGTAGTTTAGTGAGATGCATCTCAACGACCTACTACAAACTGCATTTTGATAAAACATGCCTTGGATGAATTTCAATGAATTTTTTTTCTAGAAGTAAATGACTACTGTCCCAAAGTCATTTGACATACAGATCTAAAATCACTTGTGGTGAACACTGAGTTGTAGTGAACGTGTCACAAACCTATTTCAACCTTTAGTTTGCTAAATTTATTCTTTGGTTGAATTTCAATTTCCTGCGATGGACTGGTGACCTGTCCAGGATGTTTCCTGCCTTCTGCCCAATGACCGCTGCCATCAGTGCATCCAAAGGTTGTGTAGAATTACAATAAATATATTCTGGGGTACGAATGGCTGAACAGCAGCCTATAACTTACACAACACTAAACTAACAACACATTAAAAATGAAGAATTTGTTTTCGCAATGATTCTATTGAAAAATATTTAGTTTGTGGTAGATTTATTGGCCTGAACTACTTTTTTTACACATCTGTTTCACACATTTCTCATTGCCATGTTGGTTCCTCATCAGGAACAGCATCTGGTGTCATTGCAAGGCAGTCTGCATGGAACAGACTTCTGCAGTTTCCACATTCTATCTAATGAGCCAAAGAGAAGAATGTGTGTGATAACAGCACCACCAAATTCACATTTTAAATTCAGGCATTTTAAAGTTTTACCATTAAAAATTATTTTCTGAAAATCCCTTAAAAACAGAAATCAGTGAAACAAAGCAGCGGCCACACCAGAAACCAACTATCAAGATCTCTAAGTCATATAGATGTGACACAGTTTATTTCTAGAAAGGAAATCAATAAAATCAAACCGAGGCATATTTTACCAGACTAAAGTTGTAGTATGTTGGTCAGATGTGTCTCTGTAAACTACATTTGACTTTAAATCTCTGCGTCACACAGATAAATAATAAAAAAATTAATTAAAATTCAACCAAGGAACGTCTTACCAAATAAAGGCTGTAGTATGTTGGTCAGATGTGTCTCTGTAAACTACAAGTGGTTTTAGATGTGTGTCTCACAGCAGCAATTTATTACTTATAAAAAATCACTGAAATTCAACGAAGGCAAATTGTATCGATTTCACCCATAAAGAAACACTGAGTCTCAGCACATCAGCACCAGACTGTTATTAGTGTAAGAAACAGCTGAGCAGGAAACTGTTAATCTAGAATACAGAACCAGACGGACTCGGGAAACTGTCTGTCTGTTCTGTTGAAGGAGAATCTCAGGCAGGATCGTCTACACGGCTATCAGTGGCTACATCTCTGTACCATTCAAACAGGGCATGTAGTTTCACAGACAGCGAGAATGATGATCAAAATGATCGATCCACAAGGAGACAGGAGTGAGTGGAGCTCCATCGCCAGTACAGCAACCGAGACCCCAACACGTTATGCCCCCCCCCCTTACAGTTAGCCACCTTTATCCTCCAAATATTGCGAGTTTATTCTCGAAACATTACGACTTTATTCTCAAACTCTACTATTTTAATTGTAATTAACTGTGGCCCCAAAACTCCGTCGTACAAAACAGCCAGGAACCAACAGAAACATTTAATGGTTTCTATGTTTTTTTTCATGGTGGAGGGATACGTGTAGGATGCTGTAAAGCAAAATAGTCCCTGAAGAAAACTTTTTTTGCCCAGGTTTACTGTCTTACTATTATCAACATGAACACATATAGCTTTACCGGTCGTTCTGGACAGTAAATAAAATGGATTTATTTGCATTAAAGACATCACAACTCCTGGTTCTCATCAGCATCTCTGTAAAGAAACAATTTAGAGTTTGCAAGTTTCTCTACAGCGAACCATTTCGCTTCAAACCACTCCGAATGACTTTACATCTCAACTATCGAACTATGCAGAAGGTTTTATTCCCCTATAGGTTTTATGGCTTCTGAAAATAATAAATCTTCTCATATATATATATATATATATATATATATATATATATATATATATATATATATATATATATGTATGTATGTGTGTGTGTGTGTGTGTGTGTGTGTGTGTTGTTAAACAAATGTTTTTAATCTGGATTTCTCTGAAATGTACTTCCACAGTTTAGAAGCTACGTAATTTAAAGAATGTTCCTGAGATCACATGCGTGAGGAATCATGAGTCACATGATAGGAAACAGCTCTCAAGACCAGCTAAGTGCACTGATCCAGACAGGATTACTGCAAAAGACAGACTGATTCAGACTCAGAAAGGACAGAAAGGGAAGAATGAAAAGGAATCACTCTTTCATCATTTCAACCTGACCATCCATTACCTGACCATCCATTACCTGACCACAGGTAAGGTAATGGATCTGTGTGATTAGGGCTCATCTCAGTACACGGCACTTAACCGTCAGTGCTCTGCATGTGAAAATGTCTTGTGTTAGTTGTGATAACACATTCACTCAGTAGTGTAACAGAGCAGGTCGGGTCACCAGCAGAGACACCCTGACTGGAGGATTCATTTACAGAAAGACCAGATATAAACCCTACTAACTTTGTGCCGTACCATTTTTTTTGCCTTTAAGTGGTGAAGTATTCAGTTAAGACACTTTATTCAGTGACTCAAGTGTCCTCCTGTTAAGGCAGGATGACAATATTTGCCATCGTTGATGAAAAACCCAACCAATATTATTCCAAATGGACACAACTCATCTTTAAGGTAATGAACACGAGAGACTGAAGCAAAGTACATAATTTCATTCCACACAACTAAATTTGACATCAACACAACTGTCTTTCAGTTACTTTTAGCAATAATTGTGTTGATGTAATTTATTTTATTCATGTAGAAATTATGTATATATTTGAATCAAGTAAATTCAATTCACTTTTTTCAGAATGTAACTGCTCCCATGTCCCCAGAACCAGTATAAAAACAATCACACTTTAACATCTTTAAGGATAAATCTGAATTGGTCAAAATAATTATATTTGATATGCTAATTTATTATCAACCATAAAGTTTCAGGGCAGCGCACTTTCCCAGCAGGTCTTCAGCAAACAGACAGGCAGAATGAACACTAAGTAGTGACTGACGCCACAAATACTGACAAAAGTCACTGACTCACTTTTAATATACATGTAAAACATGTGACTGACAGATGGTGATGGTCACTGGGGTGGGCCGAGCTAATTCTGATATTTGCTATTCGTTGATTTTCCGTCGTTACTGACAGTTGTTGTAGCCAGTAACTTTCATTCGGATGAACTCTCGGACATCTGTAGCATTCTTTTCCAGCTGCTTTATCTCATCCTGCTGCTTCTGTATATTCTTCTCGTTGTCCTGGAACCTCCTCTCCAGCTCTGCACCAACAGAACAGACAGAGTGGACACAATGATGTTTCAGCCTTTCGGAGAAAAAGTGTCACCCCAAAACACGAGCGGCACCAAGAGGGCACTAGGGATGCTGCAGTTTATCTCACTCACAGCAACCCGAACAAGAAACTGCGCACAATTTGTATATTATTTAGAAAACCACCACAAAAATAAGTGAACTATATGCAAAAATTGATTCAATAGCCTAAAATACATTATTCAACTGGCTCATTTAGATTGTATTGTTGTATACATCATAATGATTAACGTGCTAGTTTAGTTTTAGATTATTAGTGAATAGTGAGTTTGTATTACATGTGACATATCATTTTTTTGTACATATATACATACATAGACATATGTATTTGATCCCTGAGGAGAAATTTGGGTACATTGTCTGGGATCAACTAAACCAACGATTCATGGGTCTTATTTAAAGCTTTTGCTTGTCTTTTCTGTGACTGGCGTAACGTATGATATGAGTAACTGTGTTTGTCAAGTGATTGTTAGTTTGTACTTCATCATTAGTTCATTATCTGCAGTTAGGCTGGATCCCCCCTCTATAATTTGCTTCATATGAATGTGGTCTGTGCATTAGCTCCTGCTACAGAGCACAGCTGCCCCAAAAGCACCCACTACTGGTTCCATTACTGCCCAACACAGACATTAGCACATACTCTTGAGTGTTTCCATGTCCTTGTTGGCCTTCTTCAGAAGCGCCTCTGCCTCGTTCTTCATGTCTATCGCTCTCTGCGTGATGTTGCCTGCTCCAGCGCCTCCCAGGGAGTCTATCTTATCTTTCAGCTCCTTATATCGACTCTCAGCTTCTGACATTTCCTGATAAAAAGATACACACAGATAAAAACAAAATGTGAAATTGTCTACCTAATTTAGCTCAGTGGAACAGAGATAAAAGATGTGCACAACAGGCAAACCTTGCTTAATTCAGAGGCAGCCTGAGTGGCATTATCTGCCAGGGCCTTGGCCTTCTGCGCCTGCTGCCTGTTTTGCTCTGTCTTATTCTTTAACATCTCCACTCCTTGGGATAAATTAGCCAATCGTGACATCACATCCCTGAGGTTCTTCTCTAGATTTGTGAGCTCGTCCTCCACCTGGTCAAAAAACAATGTTCAGGACAGAATATAAGAGAGAAAGACGAGTGCTTTGTCTAAATGGAGTTGTGGTTGGGAAATGTGGTAAACTACCAAAAGTGACCACACCCTGAAAAAAGTGTGAGTAAAGACATGAATTTAATATTTCAATGTACACGTAAACGTATAGGCATTTTGATTTGAATACCAAGGCTAAATGTCTCTAAAAACCAACACATGCCACAAACTTCCAGATATTTGAAATCATTGTTTTCAATGAAGGTGGACACTGATACTGGGTGTTGTTGTGCACTGGCTCAATTTCTGAGCACCACTCAGCATTTTACTATTACTGTATTATATTAAAAAGTAACTACACCCTACTATTTTAAGCTAACTCCACCCCTGGCTCAACTTTGAAAAATGCTCAAAAATGGGAGGGGCACGCTGGGAAGGGCACTGCAGTGATGTACGGGTTTGGAAGCAGGGCTGCGAGGGAAACTGGGTGGGCTGGGCTGCTGTGTTTTTAGAGCTAGCGCAAGTTAGGTACCAGAAAATATGGAGAGTGACAGAATCAAACGGCACTTTTGCAACTGAAAGGTTTTACGAGGTAGAAGATTTTTCTCTACTACCATCCTCATCTTTGACGAGGGAAGGTGTTTATCAGGCCCTGTGTCTTGAGCCTTAACAGTATGAGTCACTGACTCAAGCCGCCGAAGAGTTAACTTAGCACCAGAAAATGATTAGCAGCGAATGGCAGAGGCGTCCAAACAGTAGAACGTTCCCTAAAACTGGCCCTGAATCCTTACGTTCTAAGCTGTTCATGGCACTTACTGGTGTTACATCCAATTCAGTTCCCACTCAAATTCACATTCCCCTTTATATATATCGAACGCTCGGTCACGTGCACTCACTGAACAGAAATCAACGGCAAGCAACAATGGTATTACAGAAAGCATGAAAAAAGTTTGAGAAAGGCTGTATGGATGAAAGGTTGACAGTCAGTAACAATGGCCATTTAATGTTAACCTTTCCTGAACCTTTTAGCTTTCAGTAGTTTCAGAATTGCTTGGCATTTATTTCTGTTCAATGTGGCGCCCGAGGGTCTGAGTTGTGAAGGGAAACATGAATTGGATGCAAGACCGGCAGGTTTATGGAGACGTGAAAGAATCCTCACTTAATCGGTCCAACATCTTTATTACAAACTAAGCGTAGATTAATCGAGTTATTTACAGTTGGTACAGACAGCTGGCATATTGCAGCCTTGTGAGGTATTGCTGGGGGTATTTAACTCGGTGTGTGAATGTGTTTATCTCCTGGCTCCTGTGCTTTCTATTTATGAGTACAGCACGAGTAGGGCATCATCAGGGGGTGGTAACGTTGTTTGACCGATTTGCATACTGTGAATTGTCATGCTACTTTGGTACGAAGACGTCATCCGCACCTATAGCAGAGCTGAACCAGAGGGGCGCTGCAGAGGTGGAACTGACCACGATAAAAATGATATTTTTACAGTTTGGAAAGATGTGTTCACATTTTAAGCAAAGCTGGTATATTTCATTATTACAGAGCAGCACATTCCAGCTGTTAATGAAAAAAAGGTCTTAGGGTGTTACTCTAGTTACTCTTTAAACCCAGAAAAAGCCCACAGAAATTGCTGGTAGGGTTGAAGGTGACTTGAAATTTACACCAAGAAATGCAGCCAATTGTTAAAGTTTTCATTATTATACTATAGCAGGGAAAACTGTAGAACTATAAAAAGGTGTACAAACTTTTGACTGTTACTGTGTAAACACATGCAAACACAGATGCACACATATCAAAACAAGCATTTCATACCATGGCAGTGGTGTTCTTTGTGGCGTCGAGGTTTTCCATGGCCACGGCTATTGCCTTCTCTGCTTTCTCTATAGCCTTCTGGGAAGTGTTCATCACCTCTTTAGTCTTACTGATGGCATCACCAACTCCGTCTGCTTGGGCCCTACACACACACACACGCACACAAACGCACATAAATGGTACTGAAAACCGTATTATATATATTAAAGGCATGGTGCAAACTGTAACTTGATGCAGCTGCAATATGTGCTTGTGATGCATCCAAAATTAACGTTCAGTTTACAAAGCCTGTAGCTAATCATGTAGCCTGCACATAGGACTGGGTACTAACTGAATGACGCTACTGAGACAGTCAAATTTTAGAATCATTTGGGATTGTTTGATAAAAAAAAAATCAAAAACAGAATTTGGTAAACAAAAACACGGAAAGTCAGTGCCATAGGAATCATTGGATGAACTGAGTTTAAAAAAAAGTGTGAGTGCTGCTATTATTAAAGGAAGCCTCCTGTGGGGACACTTTCACTAGTCAAAACTTAAATCAAATGATAAACATAATCAGCTGCATTTTCAAGATCTCCAACTGTTTTTTTTGCATGATTCTCACAGGTGTTGTGTAATCCTCCTACAAATGTATATGTATGCAGAAGAGGTGCGCATTTACAATTTTTCCCAAAAAATGTTTCTACTTAACACACACAAGAGCACATCCCTCTCTTACTTGGCATTCTGGGCTCTGTTGAGCAGCTCCTTGGCCTTAGCCAGCTGTTCAGAGGTCTGGTTGAAGATTCTCTCCACGTCAGTGAGGTTGGCAATGTTGTCTTTGATCTGCTGCACTATACGGTCCAGTACAGTCCGGTTAACTGGAAGTTCAATGGCCAGAACTTGCTTGGCCACTTTCTCTATGCTCTCTGGATCTGCCCCCTCCTCTGAACACAACACGCACAGCAATCACATTTACTCTCCTTCACAACATTAAGCGTAGTGTAGCTTATTATGGTTAATAAAAGAGAACACACAGGTGAACGCTAGAGGTGAGACAAAAATATGAAACAAAATGCTGAAGATGAACATTCAGTTAAAAAGTCCACTTAACACAACACGGTCATTTTGTAATGAAAGCACTGACCTGTCAAAAAGTCTCTGATCTTCTGAATGAAATCCTTCAATTTGTTATTGGACTTTTCAAACAACTCCTTCTTCTTTTGGGCTTTGTCCAGCGTGTTCATGGCTTGGGTTTTCACATTCTGAATAAGTGTGGCAATGTTCTGCAGCTGTGACAAAGATTACAAGCAGGTTGTCATATAAACTGTAAATACACACATACATCCACAGATACAAACCACACACACTCTTAAACGATTTCTAACTGAGTCAAATGAATCTTTTGCACTGATTTGAACATGAAAAGGTTTTTGCCTCTTTTTTGTTTCTTTCATTCTACCGAATTATTTCAAACTTAGATATTTACAATGAATAAGTTATGATCCATTTAAAAACAAAGCATAAACTGAACTAGTAATAAGCTAAATATATACAAAATCATTGTTTAAGGTTTACCTTCTATTGGGTTGTGGCTGTGCCCTGTTGAGCAGTTAGATCTCACTGGTTTTAAGTAAATGTGTCCCAAATTCTCAATCATTGTGTAACCCTAAGAATCGTCACTACTGAAACACATATTTTCTGCAGTTAAGTAACTGTTAAAGCTGTGTTTGCTGGTCATGTACTGGTTAGGATTTTTAATCTTGGCTTTTTGAGTTTGGCTAAAAATTTGCTAAAATTGTCAGTACTTAGTTTCAGTTGTGTTATGATTGTTTTAGAAATGACAAGATGGAATGTTCGATCATTTCTTTTAGTAAAATATGCATAATTAAGTTATAGGATCGCTCAAAGCTAAAGGACTTTAGTCTAAAATCCAAGTCAGCTAAAAGTTCGAAATGTGTTTTTAACTCTGACTTTGAAATAATTTGGTAGAATGATCCATATTAGTTCACACGCACAAACACACCTTCTTGTCTATGTTCATGAGTTCATCGCTGGCAGCCGTCAGGTTCTTGGTGGCCTCATCAGCCTTCTTCAGTGCCCTGAGTGATTCCCCAACTGTACCATTACAGTTAGGCCCTCCACACAGCAGTGTGCCATTACTGTCCTTACAGCCAGTCCCTCTACAAGAGCTTTCTGCACACGTACCATTAACACTTACATCACCACTGCCACCACACACCTGCGAGAAGAGCAAGGAACAGACTATCAAGCTGCAAACTTGTACATACCCAATATCCACCAAATCCACCAAAGCAGTTCACCTCCTAGCTTTTCAGACTGGAATTTTTGCCAAATACTTGTGGGCAGTTTCTAACTGCTAACTGCCAATTCTGTAGTGCCAGCTAACAGACACCTAGGTTGGCTAGTATGACACTGAGAGATGGGAGAGGGAGAGCCATCCTACTCACTCAGAGAAAGCAAAGGCCAATTATGCACGGGTGGCTGTGGCACTGCCAGGGATCAATCTTGCAATCTCTCAGTGACAAGTGTTATATTGTTTTCTTCAAAATAAATCTGGTTAGCTTTTTTGTTAAGTTTTGCAAATCAACAAATAAAACATTTTTAAAAACATTTTTTCAAAAGTAAGATGTCTCCCAACTCTTGAAGGTACATACTGAAAGGCGAGTGTTGATGACTTCAGTGAAGCTCATCCACTTTTACATATGATAGTTTGTGATTCACCATTCTTCTTTTTGGTGGCACAGCTCTGTGTTTATTGCACATTCTCTCAGCAGAGAGTATTTACCTTGTGGCTGAGGTGATGGACCTTGTCGTCCAAATCATTTGCTTTCTTTTCCAGTTCAGACAGGGACTTGTTCTGAGCTGTTACTGTGCGCAGGAGCTGGTCTTTCCTCTGGTTTAGTAGGGTCTCAGTGCGATTGCGTGTGTCTTGAGACTGCTCCACAGGGCTCTCCGGCCCAAACACAGAGGCATTACAGCGCTGCTCGGCGTCCAGGGACTGCTGGTAGTACTTCCGCACCTTTTCAAACTGATCTGCACACAGACAGACAGAACAGACATCAACATTTTCAGAACATGCTCAGAATCAGTCTTTTTAACAAGATGTACAAGAAGTTTGTGTTGGAACAGGAATCAACATAAATTATAATAAAAATGCCTAAAAATTAGAGACGGTATCATTCTGATACCAGGTACTGATATGAAGCAGATGTAGGCAGAAAATGCAGGATTGTTTATTGGAGGAAAAAAAAAAGAATTAGATACTGTAATGAATCTAGCCTGAAATAGCACACACTCACATTTGGCTATGTTGTTAGCTGTGTATTTGTTCCTGTGTAGTAAGAGTGTTTGAGTAGCTTGAGAATAATAGGCTACTTTTAGATGATCATTTTAAGTTCTTCAATTATAAAGAGGGGTTTAACTCAATTAAAAACAGAAAAGGAAGTGGTATTGTGCCATCTCTGATAAAGATATTGAAAATCCACTACACAAAAGTATAAAACATGCAGTGTCGTTTACAGTTAAATCATAACTTCTAAAGTTGTATACAGTCATAAAGTACATGTACTGTATTCTGTGCCTAAACACAGCAGAAAAAGAAGCTTCTTCACTGGTGTACCTGCGAATCCAGCAGTGAAGTAGTTGTTCAGGTCTCTACGCCGCTGAGCTACCGTATCGTTAAGGTCTCTGAGCTCCTGCTCCATTGAGGTCAGGTTCCGTTTCAGGATGTTGTCCTGCTCTGCCGTCCCATTCATCTCTCTCTCTAGGTCCATCAAACGGCCATCAGTGACAACTATCTCAGCCCTGAGCCAAAAAAGAGTCACAGTTACTTCTTACTTAGTTCAATATTCCAAACACTTTAAGGTCGGTCAACTTGACATTTTAACACTGGAAAGAGTGAAAAGTAAGAGAGTTTTATTACTGTAGCAAAAATTTACCTAAATATGAGTAAAACCATTGGCAAAGAAAATTCACTAAAAAATTACGATAACTTGCATTAGTTTAATTAGCTAACTAACAAAGGAAAAATAACAGCTTTAGGTTTAATAAAATTTACGCTAGCAACATGTACTCAAGAACTGAAGTTTGAATAAGTCTAATTCATTGTTTCACATCTTTATTTAATATTAAGGTGTAATTTTGATTTACCAGAAAGCTCAATAAAAAGTAATATACAATTAAAAGTGAGCTTAGAAATTTTCTGTCTTCATTTACTTATTTCCTTTCACAAAATGAACACCTAAATTGTTGAATGTTTTAACCTTTTCAACTCCTTGAGACCACCGGTGGTTCCAAAACGCACTTCGTCATATTCTTCATAGCTTTCATATTTCATAGGCTACATTCAAAAGGTGGTTGTCATTTGAGAGCTGTAACTGTCTTCTTTCCAGTCAAATAGATGGGTAATGTAATTTTAAACCCTTATAATAGAAAGAGCTGAATTTTTTTTTGTCTACTGAAAGTCGACCCATTTTTCCACAAATCTGGGCTATAAACTATAAACAGATGGCGTCTCTTCAGTGATCTGCTCTGTAAAAATTATTTTTATAAAATAATATAAAGAGCGTCTAAGATTTTTGGCTTTTAGCAGTAAATTATAAGCATACAGCAATATATGTTTGATCATAAAACACATGTTCTGTTCATTTGAGGGGAGCTTTTACAAAAACATAAATAAATAAATAATATAAAAATGTACATTTATTTCATGCAGTTACTGAATAATTTGCCTTACGATTTGGTCATGTAAATTCAGATGGACAAACCAAAATATGCCCTGGTCAATAAGAGGTTAATAAGTGAACAGTTTTCAAGGCATCATTCAATAAATGTCAAACCATCTAAAAACCGCAGTATATGCTCATTTCTCTAAAGCACTGACAAAACTTTAGATGATAATGATTCAAATCTGAGGGAGTTAAGTTAAACAGTTGGCGTTTAAGGGAAAGAAAGGCGAAATTAAACATGTTCCATGGTGTTTAGATTTGTAGCCTGATTGGCTATCTTGACATTAGCTTAGCAAATCCAAAGACCCAAACAGTGCCACACACCAGTGCAAGTTTTCTTCTGATTCTTTGAATGTTCTGCTGAAGTAAGTGTAGATGATAAAAACTTATGCCTGACAGAGCTAGAGCCAGGTGACTGATGTTGGAGTGACAGAAAACTCAAATCAAACCTGTTCTGTGGTGTTTGGGACTGCAGTGTTTTAGTGAATGAGAGCTAAGTTATCTGGCCAAATGTGCCAGACACCACAGCACAGGCCTGGTTCCAGCTAACTGATGCTAAAATGACACCCATTTAGAGGAAATCTGGGAGCTGGTGTCAGGTTGAAAGCCAAAAATGAAAGTGTTCTGTGGTGTGTGTAGTTAGCTGTCAGCCTTTATTATAGCTCAGTGTAATTACATTACCTGATATCATCAATGGCTTGGCTGATCAGTTGGTACATCCTGTCTCTATCTCCGTCCTTCAGCAGGTCCTGGACCTCGGCCAGCTTCTTCATCAGCTCACGGATTCGGGCGTCACTAACGCCAGGCACTGTACCCGTCTCCAGGATCTTAGCTATGATAATGTGGATGTTGTCTAGATCGCTCTGGACTTGGCAGACAATATCGTCCCACAGCTGGAAGCAGGGGTGGCAGGACACACACTTGGGGAAGCTTCCAGTAAAACCACGAGCACATTCGTCACAGTGGCGCCCGCTCGCGCCCTCTCTGCACACACATGCCCCTGTGGTGCGGTTACACTGAAGAGCCTCTGCACCCAGCGGGTCACACCTACACTCTGTGCAAACGCAACACAGATACAACACAGTGAAGATCAAGAAAAACAAGTGAAAGCAGGTCTGACATTTAATGAGAGTTACTGTAAGAGTCTCTAAGACCTGCCATCTGCCAAGTGTGGATATATTCTGAGGTGTGGCAACTTTAACCCCTTAAACGGGTAAAAGGGATTGTATTTGTTCAAAATTTGCCTTTTTTTTTTAAACATAATCCTGCTTTAAGAGTCTGGGTTCTGTGATTATGCCTTTTATTTGGAGAAATAAATCACCCCATACAGTCAAAAAGCACATCTGTAAATCCAGGGATATTGGAGGTCTGGCCGTTCCCTGCTTCCAGCACTACCACTGGGCAGCAAATGCAAGCATTTTAGTTTATTGGAGGAGTGCATACCCTCGTTAGGTGTCCACCGCCACCCCTGCATGGATAGCTATAGAGCACGATATTGTTGGTACCTCTGTCCCCTTGCTCTCTCCTTGCTCTTTACAGGTAGGAAACCAGCTAGGGCTTCTCTGAAAGACAACCTCATGGTTGCAAATTCTCTTAAAAACTGGCACCAAATCAGGAAAGCTCTCGCACCCCTTGAAACCAGCATTTTCACCCACATTGCTTTTAGTCATGCTTTTCCTCCATCTCAAACAGGACAAAAAAGGGATTATTACTATAGAAAACATATATTGATAATATTTTTGCTTCCTTTTCCCAGCTTAGGTTAAAATTTGGACTGTCTCCTTTTCATTTTTTCTGACATTTAAAAATACACAGTTATGCTAAAACCACCAGCCCCTGAAGAATTTTTATTTTCTTATGACATCATATCCAGGTATGAAAGGTCTGGTGTCAAGATTTAAAAAAAATGTGCCCCATCTACCCAAAACCTGAAAGAGTTATGGGAAAATCTCTGATGAGACCTAGAAAAATGCTTTGCAGGGCATTCAGTCAAGTTCCATTAATTCAAATTATAAGCTAATCAGGTACAAAGTAATGCACAGACTGCACTACTCTCAAACAAAGTTACACTCAATATATCCATCTATAACGCTTGCGTGTGTTAAATGCATGAGCTGTGAAGGAACCTTGTGAAGGAACTGACCTCCCTCCAGACCCTGCAACTGGTCACCAAACCTAGAGGTCTATGGTCGCTGCAAGATCCATGCAATCCAGCATGGTATGACAATAGCTAAAAAAACAATCTTAATGGTCTGGAGCAAACAAATTGTACCCAAGTTTGAAACCTGGCTGAATGAGCTCTGTAGTGCACTGCATACAGAGACGGTCAGATATGGACGTCCTGTGAAATCTAGTAGATTTTCAGACACTTGGAATCCTCTTCTTATTTATCTAGATGACTGGCAAGGTCCAACAAGTAGTGTCTGACACGTAAGTGGGTACCAAATATGTAAATGTGCGAATGAGCTGCTGAGTTGTTTTTTCTCCCTTCTTGTTATCTGGAGTAGCTGATGGCATGGGTGGGAGTGGGAACAGTTTCCTGTCACTGTTTGTCAATTTACTTGATGTGTTGCAAAAATACAGATTTAATATATTAACTAAAAAAATAAAAAAGAAATCGCCAGTGTGATCTGTAGCATCTATATGCCTGTGTGCACACGAAGGGGAGTCGGATTCCGTTTCCTTCAGCTTGTCAACAAATGCAAGTGTACAGCTGTCCATGAGTGGAGCTCACAGCATGTTCTGTATGGTGTAAAAGTGAAATACACTCTGCAGTTGTAGGGGAGCCTAAGATTCTTACATAATGCTGCTTTAACTCTTACCCTCACATCGCACGTTTGGATTCCCCCAGTGGAGCGCCTCGCACTCAGTACACTGCTGCCCTCCAAAACCAGGCCTGCAGTGACACTGACCACTGATCTACACACATACAGAGAGAACAGGAGTGATGGTGAGTGAAAGTCTTTTAATTTAAATCTTTCCTCAGATTGTGTGCAATACAGGGCTTGAATACTTCTGTCCAATACATTGTGTCAGTTATGATAAAGTCAGCTAGTAAGTTAAGGTAGTTACAGTTAGTTAGTCATACCAGGTTGCAGTGAGGGCTGAGGGAGTTCTGTGGGTGGCACTCGCAGGCCTCACAGCCCTGGTCCATTCCCAGGTTCCAGTGGTTGGGGGCACACTGGTCACAGCTGTGGCCTTCAACATTGGTCCTGCAGGGACACGACCCAGTTCGCCCGTTACAGTAACACAACCCGTCACTGCAGTGGGCCTGCTGCGTCCCCAACGTCATACACGTACAGCCTGCAGGGCAGAGGGTTACAGACCAAACGTGAGGAAAGGTCAGGAAACTGTGTAGCATAACAGGGCAATCATTTCAGCGCACAGTAAAAAGCAGGTTTGTTCTTTTCCAATTCCTCAGCAGCTTCATCAAAATGATAACAATATATACTGGTGATATTGTATCTAATCAAAACAGAAAAAAGTTGGAATGCAGTCTCAAACTTGTGGACACTCAATGTAAATCGTACAGTTCACTGCATAAGTAGCCAGGTAATAATGATGTAATTACGTAAATACATGTGAATAATTATGTACTGTAAAAATATAGCAATATATAGCATATAGAACTATAGAAAAACTAAGAGCTAATAAATGAAAGTGAAAGTGAAGTGATCAGATCTACAGTTTCCAACTTTAAGAGAGTGGATATGATAACTATATAACAAAAAGCATCAGAGAGATTTATTGCTGTACTTACGCCTGCAGTCCCTGACCAGCGCATTGCCATAGTAACCAGGCTTGCACTCGGAGCAGGACGCCCCGTCTGTGTTGTACAGACACTTCAGGCACTGGCCCGTGCGAGGGTCACATGAGCCCGGGTCCTCGGCCACTATATTCCTATTACACTCGCACTGCCGGCACTCCCCACCAGCCTGCTCTGGGTTACCGTAGTAACCAGGAGCACACTGGTCACAGCGAGACCCTAAAAGAAACAGTGCCATGTCAACAACAACTTTACTTTGCAGAACTCCTATAAACTTAGATGTACAGAAATGCCCATTATACAGTTGACAGACAGGGGTGAAATCAAACTATCAATATTTAATGAAGACCAATAATGAATAGCAGTATTTAATAATGACTGATGACCTGTGTATCCCTGCTTGCAGTGGCAAATGATCAGGTTGGATGCTGGCTCCATATGGCAGGAATCTCCGTTGGAATGACCACTGTCCAGGTAACCTGGACACGGACAGGGGCGGCAATGCTCCCCTGAACCCAGGACCGGGTTACCATAGAAACCATCCATACACCTACAGCAGAGAGGTGTAGGATGTAATAAGAATTTAGAACATATGTTATTAGACTGGATGAAGGAAATAAACTGCAGATGAAAGATATGACTGACCTCTCACACTGATGACCTGCTGTGTGGTCTCTGCACTCATGGCAGGCACCAGTGTGTGGGTCACAGCTCTCTGCATGCCCGTTACATTGGCATGGTCTGCAGTTAGGGAAGCCCCAGTGGCCAGGCTGGCAATTGGAGCACTGGCGGCCATGGGCTCCAGTATTACATGGGCATTGACCTGTTGAAGGGTCACACTGTTGTGCTGCTGCGCCATCAAAGTGGCAGTCACATGCTAAAGGAAACACAGAGAATACAGAGAGGATTTATTAGTTTACAGAATGTTTTTTCTATAGTTTTACAGAAATGCTGTTCCAGGGTGTGGAATCAGCAGATCCAAGTAACACTGTCAACAATTTGTAGTCAGTCTTATGAAATTAGAGGAGGTAAAGTGGGTCCTATGTTAGAGTAGGAAAACAAACACATGCACAGCACGGGCTCCTCCGGTACCGACTTTAGGAGCCACTACCCTAAAGCATCTTACTAGTGCAGCCATAGGGTCCAAATCCATATGTTCTCGGTGCACACTGGTCACAGTTACGGCCAATCACATTGGGTTTACAGCGACAATGACCTCCAACCTTGTCACACTCAGCACTTAGTGAACCCTGAGGGTCACAGTGACAAGCTACAGAGAAAAAAAGACATAGAAAAGTTAATAAACACGAACACAGCAATTCTAGTAACAGTGTAGAAACACCTGGTAATTACAAAAAATCTATCAATAGCCAACGGTTTAATTTATGAGCTACAATATGATCTTATTAACCTAAAATGACATTTTGCATAGTTATTAGGGGTTATTGTTCATTTTTCTGATTTATGAAACTGTACTGAAATTGTTTCACCCTTAACAGTTTTGTTATATCAACTGAGTTTTATAGCCCTAATCACTCTGATATAAGACTGTAGGTCATGGAGGACTTACGAAGAGCTCCACCATGCATCACAGAGGAGATGCTGCAGATAAGTTTGATGCACATCTCAGCCAGCGGTGGCATGGGAGCAGCCATGAAGGATTCCACACACATGTAGCGCACCATCTCCTCCCGCCGCTGCTGCGCCAGGGGGTCATTACCCTGGAAACCTGGCAGCTCCTCATACTTGGGCATCAAAACCAGCTACAAAAAGAGAGACACAGAAAGGGGGGATGGTGTGGGGGCAGAGAGAGAAGGGGAGGGAGAGAAAGAGAGAGAGAAAGAGAACGAGAGAAAGAGAGCAAAAAAGAGAAATTAATAAAAGTCAGTTATTCTATGTAACATTTGCTTTGACTTAAATTTTTAAACAGAAGTTTTACTTTTATTTAAACCTTTAAGAGACAGAACAACCAGACAGCAGATGTTTATATTTTCTGTTCTGAAGGACTAATTAAAAAAAAAAATCAATAAGATCCTGCTGAATGTCATCCAAGAACTAGGAATTAACCTTCAGATATTGTACAACTACTGCAATTAATTTATTCTTCATGCAAGTGTGGTAGAAGCTCTGCAAAAAATCAGGATGTACAGAATCGACTTCATTTAACCACAAGATGGCGATAGACTGCTATAAACTTAGTAAGCAATGCCAGGCTTTTTAAACCATATTACTAGGAGGCACTAACTGAGAACGTGTAGAGAGGAGAACTGCCACTCAGTAATGCCTTCCAGGTTTGTCAAACACTGGAGGGCGCTCCTGAGTGAGTCCAAAATGAATTTGATAATGTGGAGCATTTCAGCAAAATCATAGTTTATAAATGCTTAAACATTTTTATAGAAAAGAATACAATCATTTCCTGAACACAGAACAACATAAAACAGTTTAACACCGCTGTTATATTTTTAAGAGCTTTTAAACTTAAGTCATTTGATTTTATAATGGTGCCTCATGCACCAATCAGCATTCAATAGCAGTAATGCCAATTAGTCAGCGCTCAGTAGCAGTAATGCTAGTGTCCTACTCCTCAAAACCTGTTTTCTGCAGAAAAAAGTACATTTTCAGGTATGATTTCTGTGATTTTTAGTGAAATACATTCTTCTACTTTCCAAAATTAATATAAGGGTCAGGACAAGTGGTTTAAACCAATTTTAACTTTTCACTTTTTAGCCGTTTAGCTCCACCCTCATTCATTTACGACTCACTTGTGGGTGCCCTCTGGCGTTTTGCCGTGATGTTTTTGATATAACAGGATGAATATGAAGTGGCCAGGCTCTCCTTAAACCAGCTCTGGCACTAACACAAAATCTTTATAGGAAAGTCTGTTTACACGGCAGCCAGCACGACAGGCAACGCCAGCCATACAAGATCAGGCTCCTATCTCTTTGAATGGAGAGATACATATAAACTGGAAACTGACGGCCAGGTTACTGAATTAAAAACATATTTGAAATCACTGGAAAAAATAGACAAAACCTCATGAACAGATTTTAGCATTTGGTTCAAATAATGCACAAAAATGTGTTTTTCAGGTTGTACTGACTACTGTGCTTGTGAGATCTTGACAATAGTCACCTTTACATGCAGCCCAATAATTCATTAATAATCTGTCTAATAGCTCAATCGGAATAGAATACATCCATCTATACACCTCAATCGGAATAGACTAGTTCAATTGAGGCCATTCGGAATACAATTTGTATCCGATTGAACGAGGTGGGTAATCCTGTAAATAATCCGTTAAATAGAAGAATAATAACCATGTAAACACCTGTATCCAATTACATTCCCAATCGGAACGTGTAAGTACATTCTGCGCATGTGCTTTCAACATGAAAGCGGGAGCAGAAACTGGTCTGCAGAGGAGACGAAGTTTATACTTTCAACTTTAAAAGACGGCGGTGGGATGGGGGTCCAGCTTATGTTTGTCAGAAACTGACGTCTTCCTCTCGCCGCTTCTTTAATACATGTGAAGTACATTTTAAAGCAATTAAAAAAATAAAGGGCGCCAGCTGAAAACTCGTCTCACTCTGACTGGACTTTACGTGATGCTCGCTGTCATGGTAACATTTACTACATGTAAGTGGTTCTCTACGCTTTCGTGTCATTTTGGATCTGATTACTTGTAGTCTGCATGTAAACAGAGATTTTCCATCAGACTGTTGAGTGGAGTATGTATATAAACACCTCAGTCTTAATCTGTAATCGGAATGTATTTAATCGGAATCTTTGCATGTAAACAGCCATTGAGGGAGAACATTTCCTACTAGCAGCTTAACTAGCAAGCTGATTTTTACAGAAGGGCAGGACTTTCTCTGGAAACAGACGTCATGATCAGCATTACAAGCTTTCCCATTAATTTTCCAACCAGTGACCATTTTCCTCCTGTATAACGTTTCTGACTATCAGTGCATCTGATATTTTGATGATTCAGAACAATAAATACACTTACTATGAGCCACTTCTATTAAAATTAAATATTTTTCTGAAAAAATTACCTGAAATCACACCAGTACAAGTTTCATCTCTGTTGTAAAATATATGTTCTGATAATTAAATATTGGGTATAGTAGTTCTAACCGAGTCGATGAGGATGTAGGCAGTGAGGTGTCTGTAAGAGACTGCATGGCGCTGGAAGCGGATGGAAACCACATAGCGGTTGCTGGGCTCGAAGCAGAAAGGCCGAGGCATCTGGATGTACCTGTGAAGAATTTCACACTTTTAGTCAGAGCGGGAGAAAAATCAATGCAACACCATACAACAGTATTGGGATATTTAAGGTGAAAACTGTATATTTACACTGAAACCCATGTGTTGACATTTGGTAAACTCAGTATTAGATTTATAGGATAATAAAATCCACTGTAGCCTAAATGAAGAAGAAGCCTTTTTTCTTTCTGGTGAGAACAAAGCTTCCGTCAGTGGTTCACAGGAGGATATGTTTGAACATTAATGAGTGTTTTCCTGATTCATAATAATGTTTTGCTTCATAAAAGTGCTAAATAGAGTTTTCATTTGAAGTCATAAGTTTCAGTCTAAAGTAATAAACTGCAATTTATTATATTACAAATCTTTAAACTCAGTAGAAAGATATTGTGAAAATATCATATTGTGGGGTCTGTACTGATTGTCACCTTTAGCTGTTAGTGCTTTTCATTTACACTCTATAGAGGTTTGTTTTCCTGTGCAGTCTACAAGCCAAAAAGAGGCACAAGCATTAGCCTCTCTCTCTCTCTCTCTCTCTCTCTCTCTCTCTCTCTCTCTCTCTCTCTCTCTCTCTCTCTCATGGAAACGTCTCATACTAAGTGGTGTCTACACTAAAGAACTTACACGGACCACACAGGAGAGGCCACTGACAACTGAACAGCAAAGACAGAGGAGAGACTCTACGTTTCAGCACTAAGAGCTCCCTCTCTAGGAATGTTGGTGCTGTGTGTCATAGAGATGAGACAATCAACAATTTCCTTAAGGTTCTAACTTCTGTTCAGACACACAAAGCATAACAGACGTAATAACTACTTATCAAACAACCAACTTTTAGTTAAAGCTGTTAGGCAGATTATCGTAGTCTTCAGCAGATTGCGGCACTAAAAAACAGGCTTTTAAAAGGGCATAAATTAAGTGTAAAAGATGATATCAAAAAACTAACAAAAAGGCCAAAGTCAACAATAAAAACAACAATATATATATATATATATTTATGTATATATATGTGCATATCAAAATTAAATAATTAACTGGAGGCAGTTGTGGAGTCTTCAATGAATTTCAGTGGTTTACACTGTAAAACACACCTCACTAACACATCACTCGAGTGCAAAACACTGAACCCAAATTTTGCGATAATATTAAAAAAACATAATGACTTACTGTGTCATTTTAAAGCACTATTTAGCCTTAGTACCTAACAGTGTCCAAAATTTTAAGCACATTTCAGGAGGGAAAAACATGCCTATTGGCACCAATTCAATTTAAATTCAACTTAAACCTCAATCTGAGCATCAAGCACTAAACCCTGATTAAGTCACACAAGCTTTTCCTGGCTCTGCGGCTCATTTTCAGCTCAGGCTGCTAATTGGTTCTGCCTGAGCCCACAGCAGCAGGACACAGCAGCAGGAGGAAACACGGTGTAGTGAAGCAGTCACTCACTCACACACACATCCGGAGCTGAAAACAGCACACTCAGCCAATCAGCTCTCTCACACATGCCTGCTCTGGAATGCACTTCCACTATGCCCCCTCAGTATCAGCTTGTAGATTTAGCACTTCAGTAAGAAACAACAGTGATTTTAATACAGCGTATGCAGTGTTTTTCTACACTAGAGGACAAAATTTAGCAACTCCCAATATTATATTCTTTGCTCATAGTAAGACAGACAGACAAACACACAAATAAAGACAAAACACAGACACACAAACAAACACAGTAACTCATATAGTACACCAAACACTCCAATCACTCAACATGCACCCACAAATACATATGCACACACACGCTGGGCACACAGAGGGGACGTTACCTCTTGTGGTGAGGCAAGATGACAATGTACATCTGCTCTGTGGGCAGCAGGTTTCCACAGCGAGGGCTGGTGGGCAGCAAGACGGACGTAATGCTCACAATGGCCTCCCAATCTTCTGTGGACTGTTACGAATAAGTGTCAGGAACATACTTTTTATAAGAAATGAATAAGCATATGAAACATATTACAGTCTAACCTGGTATATTTTGAGGAAAATAATATCATACGTAAACACCTGTGACAATTTTAGCCCTTTAAGGCTGATGCAAAAAGGGGCCATTTTATCTATTTCTTCCATTAATAATGCAATTTCATCATACAGTCATAGATTCTTCTTAGCAGTACCAGGCTTGTTGGGTTCATGTGGTTCCTGACAGTATTAGTGACTGTGCTACCTTGGGAATGATCCCATACCTACACATTCTATCCCCTTGTTATGATGTTAGCACTCATCAGCAGTCAAACCTTTCAGCTTCTTAAACCACCAAAAGAAAATGTTTAAATCTAAAGATTTTTAATTTGTACTTTTAACAATAGTTTGGAAAAAAACTGCCAAATTACTATTGAAGCAAAATGTTCTCTTCAAAGATGACACATGAACATGAAGCTAGGTGTTGAGAAATGTACCCAAAATATTAGTAAACAGCCGCTTTATGTTAAGAAAAGCTTGTAGGTGTTTTCCTTACTTAACCGAAAGGTAACAGTGCTAATTAAACATTAAAGGTCATTAAAGATTAGGTGTCATCAAAATTCTGACAGGTAGTGAACATACTGAACTTAAAAAAAGAGTCCAGGGCTGACCTCTGGCTCATAGCGGATCATGATGTCATATTCCATGGCGTAAGCGATATTGTCGATGGTGAAGACGAGCCCAGCGCCGTCTTTAACCCGAGCAAAGCCCGGTCCAGTCCAGGTGACCATCTGACCCGGCTGCCTCTCTCTGTGTACAGTCATCACGTCAGGCTGTAGAAACACCAACACAAAGACACGAGTAAACACACAAGCACAGCGTGCTGACAACCTGCACACTGCTGAGGCTTAACGGCTCATAACCTCCATTTTTCTTGAATTAATTCCGCTTATGACATTTATGTGACTTTATGTACCAAAAACAGTCCTAATTCATTTTTACCGGACCATTGTCCATCCTCTCTTTATCCCCCGTTTAGAATTAAACAGGCTGTTTTTGTTACTGTGCCTTTAAGAGTGATCTAAGAAAATGACCTCTGTTCTGATTGTCTGCCTGTATTGAGCTTCATTCAAAATGCAGTCCAGGCTGAAACATTCCTTATAACTTCAGTGTAAATGGGTGGGGCTAAACTGCTGTAAACTGAATAGGAGGATAAATGTTTATGTGTTTTGTTTTGTGATATTATAAAAATACTATATGCAAAACAGACTTTTTTGCAGACTTGTTTACAAACTATACCAAACTCTTTTACTTCAATAAAGTGAGGACATTTTGGTTTTCCATGACATGAACTTCACTTACATAATTTTCCCCTCTTCCCCAAACGTAGTTGATCAGCCAAGACGTCCAGTATCAGAAGTTTGCTTCTTTAGTTTTGCACTGGAGCTACAAGGCTAATAGAGCTAACAAGTAATAGAAGCAGATTTACACCAATTAGCATCTTGTTAACTGCATGTCTAAAGTCACTGTGTTGGTGTCTGACAGTGCACACTGTTATCTATAAAAATATACAAAGGCACTATTTTAGTCCATTTCATTCAGGCATTACTTTAGTCCATCTGTTGGGATTTAAGCTTCCATCACTTGTTAACCACATTAGCCTTGTAGCTCCAGTGCAAAACTAAACAAGCAGACGTCAGACATTAAGCATGTTTTGGCTGACTAACTGCATTTGGTGTGATGAGACAAACTGTGTACATTTGATTTTTGTCAAACTCTTCCTTCAGAGAGAGAAAGGCTAGAGAAGGAGAAAGGTGAGAGAGTCAAACGTACAGTCTGCTGCAGCTGACGGATGCGTCTCAGTGCTGCCCTCTGCTGCTGGGCGATTCGGCGGTGGCGCTTGTGTCTCCTCAGCTGGTTGTTGAGATGCTCAGCACAGTTATTCACCGCCTGAGGCCGCGGATTCCCCTGAACAACAGAGAGGGAGACAGAGAGAAAGAAAGACTGCAGAACCTGAAGGAGTAATGTTGTATTCTATGTATGTAGGTGAACAGAAGTCGTGTATTTCCAGGACAGTTCTGTACTGCAGCTTTACAAAGAAATGGTACCATCTCCCCTATATGAAAGAAAGATGCCAGATGGGAAAAAATAATATTCTTATGAACACTGAATTTCTTTGTTCTGTACCGGAGCACAGAATATCTGGTCACTATATATGATCACTGTATAATAATGCTGTCATAGCACTGCATAATTCCATTTTTTTAATTTTTCATTAGAAAACACCTGCTGCCTTTTACAATGTGTTAACACCCAATGACGAATGCACCAGCAGAAATGATTCAACATTACATGCAATAAAATGTCTTTTTTTCATGTTATAATGTAAAGTGTGGAGCATGTATTTGCATATTCCCACAAATGTAACAAACATAATTTTATTTAAAATGTTATGTTATGACAAAGACAATATTTGTAATGACAAAGACAATATTTATCATTTAAAATCATCCGTAATCTACCTAAAGAAACATTATGATTGCTGAAGCTGACAAACCCCTTAGCTTAGAGTGTTTGGACACTAGGCTTACAAACACAGCCATAGAAAGTGATTTTGCAGGGCAGTGAATAAAAGCTGCCGCCCTTTATGTAGCAGACTTGGGTTCGGTTCCCTGTCTGGGCAGGAACACCACGCAATACCAATAAGAACCATTGGGCAAAACTCCCAACGCTGCATTAAACCTACCTCTGTAACATGACTAAATTGCAGGTTGCTCTGGATAAGAGTGTCTGGCAAATGCAGAATGACAACAGGGAGAGCTGGGAAGAGGCAGTTGTGTTATGACAGTCAGTGAATAAAGGAATGTGCTGCAATGGGACACTCACAAAGTATGTTTTGTTAGGAGAGAAAGAAGGACAGACAGAAAGACGGAGAATGAGTGTGAAAGAGAGGCGGAGATTGTATGTGTTTGCATGTGTGGCAAGCATAACTAACTCTATTTGACAGATTGGCATCTCCTCATTTTTCAGATGTTATTCTGGGTCACTTCAGCTATGGTGTGTTCACTGTTCAGACTGTCTGCATGACCAACTCTGTCTGGTTTCTAGGATGATGTACGGCAAGGGTGTAAATTCTTTAACCTCAAAAAACATTTGATTAAATTACAATGGAAAAAATATTAAATGATTCAGCGTATCAGGAAATTTCAAATGATTGGCTGAAAGGCACTCAGTGTGTGCTAATATTTCCAAATACTGGCACTCTGATTGCATGTTTTAAGTCTCATGTTTATTAACCTGTAACCTAGCAACAACCAGGACCTTAAATCCAGTCTAGGATTTTGTATGTTTGGTAGGTGAGACACTAGATGGCTGATCAGTTACATCAACAGTTCAGTTGACAACCAATGATTACAAAATCCAGGAGCGAAAACTGGATTCACAGTCCAGACTTAAAGATCTCTGATATACACTGATCAGCCACTCCTCATACCTCCTTATATCTACACTCTTTATCCATTTTATCAGCTCCACTTACTATATAGGTGCACTTTGTAGTTCTACAATTACAGACTGGAGTTCATCTGTTTCTCTGTATACTTTGTTACCCCCTTTTAGCCTGTTCTTTAATGGTCAGGACCTCCACAGGACCACCACAGAGCAAGTTTTATTTGGGTGTTGGATCATTCCCAACACTGTAGTGACACTTACATGGTGGTGGTGTGTTAGTGTGTTATGCTGGTACGAGTGGATCAGACACAGCAGTGCTGCTGGAGTTTGTAAACACCTCAGTGTCACTGCTGGACTGAGAATAGTCCACCAACCAAAAATATCTAGCCAATAGCGTCCTGTGAGCACTGATAAAGGACTAGAGGAAGACCAACACAAACTGTGCAGCAACAGATGAGCTACTGTTTCTGACTCTACAAGGTGGACCAACAAGGTAGGTGTGTCTAAAAGAGTGGACAGTAAGCGTAACAATCACAATATTACACTTACAGTGAACTATTGTGTAAATATATTACATTCTAACATTGCAAAATCAATGCAGTTGAGTCACCACCTTCAAATCAACAAGGTACATCGCATACAGTCCTATCTGATGCAGTCCATACACAGTACAAAGTATGACTGGACCCAAACCATTTGAACTGGCAAAAGAGCAGCAGCAACGTGTCAGCACCTTTAACATTAACCTCAGATTAAAAACAGAACCACCTTCACTCCGTGGCACTCTGCTGCAGCACAATTCACATTATTCACACCCACCTAAACCTCAGTGTGCCTCACAGTTTACATTCCATTATTTGGTGGGTTGTGTGTGTCTGGGCCTGCCCTGAGGACCCACAGGTGATATGATGATGCTGATATCAGATAAGCTGCAGTTCCTGCTGCTGCTGTTTTGATTTTGTTATGGAGCATAAGCACGTTTCAGTACGAGAGGCCCTTCTCTTTCAGGAAAAGATGAACTTCTGTTTCAGTGTTATGGAATTCTTTCTTGTGGAATGAGCTAGAAGATCATTTGGTTCAAATAACTTCGAAAAAATGATCCTGGCTAAGTAAGTAATGTGCAAAAGGTCCATTTTTACTGCAATGCTTAATCTACAAGAGATACTTTGAGAGCCAGTACAAAAAAACAAAATAAAATTTTTACTTAAAAAATTTTACCCCATATCAAGCTGATGAGGAAGGACATCTTTAGTGTCCTCCTTTTTTACTTCTGTACCAGAACTACTAGGCTAACATAACTAACAAGCAATGGAAGAATGGATAGACTGCATTTTTGTAGATATCAGCAAATCACACAGTGTCAAAAAACACACAGATCTAAATCTAGAAGCTTGAGCTTTACAATTTGATCTAATTACATGGAAGTGTGTGTTAATTTAGCAATGTAATTTGCATGGTGTTAATTTGTGAGGTATAATCTTCCATTATTTCTTAGCCTTGTATCTCCAGTGCACATTTTAAATCCTTGGACATCAAACTTTTCAATAAAATAACACATCAACCATATCAGAACCCACTATCATAGACCACGGGGATAAAATAGCTGTTTACTCACAGCAACTCAACACAGGTTAATCCTTCTAAATCCTCCATGTGTGATGACATGTATGTAAAAGATTACATGACAAAGCAGGAGAATAACTGATGATTCAGTGCTAATAAGGAACAATAAGGATGCTTTCAGATTGTAAGGTTTGGTTGGTTTGCAGTACTTACGGGTAGAGCGGAGTCATCAGGGGAATGGCCCACTGCCCCTTCAGCCTCGTATTTGAAGTAGTCCAAAGCAGCGCAGAAATATTCAGGTTGTACATCAGAGCACTGGCGGCCAATCAGGTGAGGCCGACAGTCACACTGGCCACTGTCCATCCTGCACCTGTAAAAGAAAGAAATGAGGATCAGCAGAATGAGAAACACTATATTTAAAGCTGTGTAAATGCCAAATGTTTATAACCTGATGGCTACGCTTGTAGAGCTGTTAATCAAGTAATTCTAACTTTATAGGAGAAGAAAAAAACTAACTTTAAAGTTAATCAATGGAACCAGACGTTTTTTCCGGGTCATTTTGGGCCATTATACAATATAAAATATGTCAAAAACTAAAAACCGTCAAAAAGAGATAGGAGGTTTTGTTCTGACAGCAGTGATACTTTCCAAACTTGGCATTCAAAAATTATCAGAAGTTATAGAAAAAACTGGACTCATAACACCTGTGCAGGACACCAAAAGTGTCACCATCAGATAAACCGTATTTAAAGCTTTCATATTTGTAAGAATCAACCTCTACTCTTGTTTCAGGTCTTAAAAACTACTGGTGTTTCTGACCATCCTTCTACTGTGAGAAGACAACTCAGCACCATGGGTCTGAAAGTATGTTTAGCTGTCAAGAAGGCATCACTAAAAAAAAAGGATGCTCAAAAAAGAGGAATCTCTGCAAGTCTTCTCAAAGCAATAGGCTGACGACCCCTATTAGAAGGTGTCTGTCCCAAACCCTAACCTCTCAATTTCAACTTGTGAAAACAATACTTAAAGTTGTTTGTAGGGATTTTTGAAGATGTTTGATTTCTTTTAAAGAGAAATTGAGTTAAATATTTAGATTTATCAGGAGTTTTTAAATAAAACAACTTTTGCTGTCTCACATTTTCATGTCAGTACTAAAACACACAGCGTTTTAGTCCATAGGCCGGAGCCTTATTTAGTCTTGCCCCTGCATTTCAGGGCAGGAAGTGAGACTGTATCCCTGTCCCTCATGGCCACACGGTGAGCAGTTAGTTTATTTTGAAGTAAATGTGTCCCAAAGTCTGAAAATCAAAGTGTATGTGTGTCACTACAATGTGCCACTAAAGAAACACGTATTTTCTGTAATTCAGTAAATGTTTCCTGCTTCTATGAGAAATATTATAATTTTATGTGTGTGTAACTGTTCAAAGCTGTGTTTGTTACTCATGTTTTGGTGTTTTTGAGCTTATAATTAGCAAAAATTGTAACTACTGAAACAGTCACTACTGAAACATTTGGTAAAGCTTTGATAGTGTTATGATACTTTAGTAGTGACAAAAAAGACGTTCCATCATTTGTTTTAATAAAATAAACATTGTTAAGACTTGAGGTCACTCAAAGGAACTGAGTAATCATGTCAGCCCTGTTCTTGCATAATGTAAACTCACGCTGCTCTTTCTACCTTCCAACCCTGCTTTATCACTCAGTAAAGTACATACAAACACCCTAACACATGTATGGTCATTACTGAGTCCCCAATATGCAGATAATTTAGGCAAACTTATCAACCAATTAAGAATAAATACGGTCATCAGAAAATGGTCAGGAAGTCAAGTTTTACCTCCATATTCTCCTCATCATCCACTTCTTAATCTGCTTCCGTACTTAACCTACTTCTATCGTTAGTCTACTTCCATCAGCCCCTCCTCCTCATCTTTCTGATCAACCTCCATGGGTTCCTCATCCTCAAATTTCTCATCTACATCCACGGGCTCCAACTCATCCAAAACAATGGCTGACAGAGTCCAAACCAGCTGATTAAACAGTGCTAACTGAAAGAAGTTCAGGTCAATGTTTGACCGATATTCGCTGGACTGATCTTCTTAGGTTTAGTGAGTCGAACAAAATGAAGTGATTGAGATTTTGTTGGTTTATCATTGTAAGGTAAGTTCTGTGATGTTTCGGAATGGAATTCTTATATATACTGTCTACCAGCTCTGCTTTATCACTCAATGAAGTACATACAGACATACATGTTACAGATACTTACTTGTTGCTGTATGCTCCACCAAAGTCACAGTCACAGGGTCTGCATCCTGAAAGGTCAGCACTGAGTCCCCAATACTCTGGCTGAACACAAAAACACAAACAAAACCTTGTTCCAGTCTTAATTCCAAAACTGGTTACTCTGATTTGCTGGTATATAAACTTATATATAAGTTTACTAATTACATAACTAACAAAGGACTATGGCAACTTTCACAGTGCAGTCGCACACATTTGATCTTTCTGCCTTGATTATTCATATTTGTGCTTGTGAGTGATCATGATTAGTGTGAACTACGTTGCCCAAAGAAGCTGAATAATCTTAAAAGCTAATGCTAATGTGCACAGCTGCTTTGGCGCTAATATTTCATAGGATGTCCCTTTAAGGTGGTAGTGCTAATTAGCATTGTTCTACCGAATGAACAAAAGCTATGCATGCCATGGACGACTTAGTCATAGACCAGTGTAGTCGTGCGTCATTCTGCAGTCCATGTTATGCCCATATTAGGGACTCTGGGTCTAAGCTTGATTTCTCTATGGCCAGAATAATTGGGGTTTTGGAAAAATCTGCCGCACCCTGTTTTAAATAAAAATGTTCAGAACCTGATACCTTTTGTCCTGTGTACATTTCTCTCCCAAATATCACTGGATTCACTGAATTACAAGGTCGTTAAAAAGCTGTAATACTAATACTGCTACATGTAAGCTAATGCTACTGTGCATCAATTTGATGTCACTAACCTACACGTAAGTAAGGTGGGCTGTGCTGGTGCTCTGATGAGTTGTGCTACCTTATGAAAATGTTCTACCGTAGTGCAAAATTACAGGTATACCCATAAACAAAACCTCTAGGTAGGATATTTTGATAGGCTAAAACTCCTTATCAAAAATACTACCAGTGCTAAAACTACGAAGCTGAATTTAGCTTATTTTTCGCCATATTCTTGCTTAAATGTGGCCGTTCCACCTTAAATAGTGCAGCAGTTGTTAGCTATCACAAACATTACTTAATGTTACTCAGCTGTCAAGCAGAAATAGGTAAACCTCCTCATATCATGCCTTTCAGTTCTCCATGAAAGTCAGCTTCTTTTTTGCCAGCTGCTTGTTCGAATTTTCCCATTCCACCTTAAATGGCGCAGCAGTTCAGAATGTAACAAGATGCTGACAAATATCCTCAGAAAATGTAACCAGCATTAAAATAATAATTAGGATATTAAATCAGTTTATCAGGGGGTGAGCAGTTATATTAAGCTGAGTCTGTACTGAATTAGCCTAAATGCAGGTAAGATTGTAGAGCTTTTCAAATCAAGCTGTACAGAATGGAAAGATCTCTCATGTTTCAGTCAGGAAAGGAATGACAAGGAGTACTCAGCATTAAAAAGGGTACGAGTATTCAGCACTGAGAAAGATGCATGATTAATTTGCTTTTAAGTTTATTGTCCTGCAGGCTTCATTGCCGGCCTTGTGTCCACAGTAAGCCTGGCAAACAGCACATCTAGTCCTCAACAGCTGACTGAAACCCACAACAGCTGTGCTGGACTACACAACGAACGCCGCCTCATAGTGCTTTAAAATACATGATAATACACTCTCTGAATGGTTCAATTTTCATTATAGCATGCTAGGAACGCACGAGACGGCTTATCTTGGCTTGCTTTTTTTAATTACTCAGTGTGGGCAGTGGTTAAAACTAAAAAAAAAAATGGGATAGTGTTTTGAATTGTAGCTATATTTGAAGCCAGAACATACCAACCAAATGTTTGTCTGTTGGTGTTTGTCCAGTCGCTGTTCTCTGGCCTTTACGTTTTTTACTACAGCTCTACATCTCTCATCATAAACCTCTCAAAATGTACCTTTTTCTACACTGTTAGATTGTGTTTCTGGTGATATTAAGCCTGTTTTCAATACTCCTATTTCCCTGTAATCTCTAAACAAAATGTTATGATTTTTTCCTGCATCATAAATGCAAAACTTACATCACCACCCATCAGTGGGCTCCCCATATTAACCAAAAAAGTCATGTTTCAGCTCCTCCTTCATCCACCCCATCTATCACCCAGCAAAACACTCAGCTAGCTTAACACTGGAGCTGGTCTTCATGGTTATCACTGCTTGTATCAGCCCTGTAATGTGAAGGTAGCTTTAGGAACTATTGCACTGAAAGTGGACTCTTACTATGCACTGGTTGCAGTAGCGGCCTGTGACGTATCTCTTGCAGGAGCAGTCTCCACTGATTGGATCACATGGGTCTCCCAGCATGGTGATGCCGCGTGGGTCACAGTTACACGCTGTCAAAAACATTGATGAAAACATGTATCCCACACAGATCCACAAACACCAACACAAACAAACCCTGCTTAAGCATAACATGCATATATATTTACCCACACAAATGTCCTAGCCACACAAATAGCATGTTCCTGAGGCCTTTCCACTGGTAAATTAACAGCTGCATGGAGAACTCACAACCACTGAATTACTGTTCCATATCTCCCTCCCCCTTAAACACACATACTCACGTTGGCACCCCAGAGGGTCGTTTTGGCTGAGGCCATAGTGTCGCTCTTTGCAGTAGTCACAGCGCTGACCCCTGACGTTGGGCTTACAGCGACACTGTCCACCAATCATTCCCAGATCCAAATCAGTGTGGCTGTCACACACACCACCCTCCAGAGAGCCCACTGGGTCACAGTCACACGCTACACACAGAAGAAAAGAGCGAGACAGAAAGCAAGAGTGAGCCAACGAGAGAGAGAGAGAGGGGAGAGAGAGAGAGAGAGAATAAAGTCTTAACAGAATAGCTGTTTTTACCGTAGCAGTCAATAAGCAAACACTGATCACTGTGGGAATTGCACAATGGGAGTAATGAAACACATATTTCACAATGATATGAATTTCAGCTCAACGATTTAATACATTTTGATAGAGGTAAAAAATGGCATTCTTTAAAGCCAATACAAAGAAGTGTGTTCTTCTGCTTTTTAATATGCCTTTCTCTGTAAATAACACAATTTCTCAATGTCGTGTGGAAACACAAGAATAAGAAAATGTCACAGATCGTTTTTTTACTCTGATAAACACAGCTGATAAAAGGCGCTTACTGATAAGAACTATGCTCTGAGTGAGCTTACACGCTCACTTGGAAAAAAATCACTGTGCATTCAGAAATCAAGGAAGCCTTGTGCATCTTTGATATACAGTAATAAAAATATGGCAGCACACAGAAAGCTCTGATTTTATACGCGGACAGTTATTTTCTTAGAGTTCAAATTGTCATGGCCTCCCCTGAGATCACATTAGACTTTTCTAGTCCTCTGATTACCTTTCACTCACCTAAAAGGCATTTTCCCTCCTTTTCAAGAACTGTTTATTTTATTATGCGACTTTTTAGCAATATCCTGCTCTGTTTTTTCATTTCAGCATTTTTTTCAACTGTTCCTCTGTGTTTCACCCATTCCACTGTTTTGACTACTTATTTTTCTGGTTTTTGCCTTTCAGAATTACATAGTTTGTATTGTTTTTTCTCCTGTCTGAGTTTTGTCGATGATATTGACTGTTTTCAAAGTCTGAAAATCAATGTGTAACCTTAAAAAATGTCACCACAGTAACACATATTTTCAGCAATTAAGTAAGCTTTTTGTGTTTTAATGAAAAACACTGTGATTTTATGATTTTACTTGAAAGCTGTGTTTGCTAGTCATGTACTCGCTAGTGTTTTTAAGTTCTACTTAAAATTAGCCAAAATTGTCATTACTGAAACAGTCACTATCGAAACTTTTGGTAAAGTTTCTGTGGCGTTATGTTTGTTTTGGTAGAGATGTTATGTTCAATGAATTATTTTAATTAAATAAACATAATTAAGGTTTAGTGTCGCTGGAAGCAAAAGGATTTTATTTCGAGGCTAAAGTCAAAGTCAGTAAGAAGTCTGAAATGTTTTTTGACTTTGAACCATTTTGGCAGAATGATCCATGTGTATATATGTTTTGTATATACTGCAAACGTGTACAATATTTAGTATTGTCTCACAAAGCCCATGTATACAGAATACAGAAGATACATTAATAACACTTTATAACTGAATTCAATTTAACAGAACTAAATTTAATCAAGTGCAAACCAATGTAACTGATAACAGAAATGCTGAGCTGTGAGTTCTCTTTACTTAAAAAAAGTTAAACTAACTAAAAGACCCATGTAAACGTTAAATTTTAAGTAGGTTGAACACTTCATTTTTCACAGTGCATATCACATAATGAACTGCTGGGTAACTCACGAACACACGCGACTGGGTCTCTGATGTCTCTGGCTGGGTCCTGGTAGTAGAAGGGTTTGCAGGTCTCACAGTTGCGGCCCATTGTGTTGTGGAGGCAGTCATCACACACGCCTCCGCTAACGTTCCCCGTGGCCAGATACACCGCCATGTCAAAGTGACATTTATTGGAGTGACCATTACAGTTGCATTCTGATTGAAAACAAGAGATTTGCAGTGATGCTTATTAAATTGGTTTAACCTACATCAGCATGTAGATGTTTGCGCTTGCATAAGTATATGTGTGTGTCTTGCCTCTGCAGGTGTGAGGGTTATCAGCCTCGGCCGGTCTCCAGGGCAGGTCATGGTGGAAATCTCTGCAGCGTTCACAGTTTAGCCCCTCTGTGTTATGCTTACACACACAGTGTCCATGAATCTGACCAATCACAACACAGCCTCATCACACATTTTGTTTCAACATTATTTTGAGTCACGAAAAAGACTTACAACTATCAAGTTCAAACTATCAAGAGTGATTTTATTAGATTACATATATATGAAATCCAGAAATTGTTTGAGTTCATATGTAAACAGCTACAAATTTGCAATTTGCGAGTTTGGATCACACCTTCAACATGGGTTTGCACCATTAGGAGAGACTGTGTGACTGTTGATGGGGACATAACTGTGAGAACTTGACAGCTTCTGCTATGAAGGGTAATTCCATTGTTTATTTTTTTTTAAACTTTTCTGCATGATTAAATAGTTAAGATGTGAACAAAGCCATTCAGAGTTGTTTGATATGAAATGTGCCACAGAAACTTGCCAAGTCAGACTTGTCCACAAATGGAGGTGATAACAACCAGACATCCACAGCGTTTAATGTCTCTAAAAGCTACCTAATTTTTTTTTTTTGAGTGTTACAAAAGTTTTAGCTAAAGCTTATTTTGACGCCCCAGACATTGTTTTATGATAGTTTTGAGATACAATTTTGGCTATTTTTACGTTCCATTTAAGGTCGAGAGGTACATTCAAGTTGTTATAAGACAAAAATATTTCCTCAAAGACAAGCTGTTATTTCAGATTTACCACGATTTTACCAACAAGGCATATAAAACTTCAAGGATACAGATACTGCATCACCACCAATGGAAAGAAATCTGAGCAAGCTCCTCTATAATAAACCAATTCACATGAAGCCACTCTGAATAACATTGTTTACATCTCAATGACCGAATGATCAAGAAATTTTGAAAAATCTTGATGAATAGGTAGGCCTGAGAGAATGGAAAGATGGAGAGGTGATGGGGTGTGAAAACTATATTACAGGAAATGTAAGGTAGAGATACAAATTTAGAAGAAGTTAGACAGGAATGAGGAGGAGCTTTAGACAATAACTTTGAGTTGTAGCTCCATTTGTGAGACAAAATGTAAGTATGATCTTCTATTTCTACATTGCCCTCCAAACATTTAGGGAGACTTCTTTCTTGCTCTTACTTTTTACATTTAATCTTCATTAAACTCTTTAAATTTCAAACATTTGACTAATACTTTGGGCTTCAAGCTGTCAGCTTCACATAAGTGTCCGCAGACAGGTAGTGCATGTATTCAGATCATTTGCAAATCATATAGCTCTCAAAATGAGAAACAACAGTGCAAACCCACCATGCCACTGACTCTGGCATCCACCCCTGGCACTGGGACGCACTCAGAAGCGTGGCCATAGCAGAAGCAGCTACCACGCACCACTAGCTCACACAGGGCATAGTAATACTTCTGTAGGACATCCGGCCGCCGGTCCAGCAAGTTATCCCCCAGAGTGTGGAGCTTAGTGAAGTTGATCCTGAGGTTAGTGATGCGCAGGAGGTCTACACACAAATACAGACAGGTTTTTTACTGTACGCTGTGATTATTCACCTGATCAAAATGTTCAAAAGTGTTTTCCTAAGTGATTAATACACAACAACTTACCCTGAATATTAGTACTGTAGGGATCACTGACATGGATTGACGGATCAAGCACTTTGTAAATGACCTAAGGCAAAACATATGAAGACCATTGTTGTTTTAGATCAAAAGCACTTCATGGATAAGATTTCAAGCTAACTTAGTCTCACTCATTCACATTTAGCAGGATGAAGACTGTCCACAAGGGGGCACTAGCATTTAAGTAGAGCTTTCACATGCATCAGTAGCTACGTTTTTACATGCACACCAATAGTCCGATGTTAGTCTAGGACTGCTACCCTAACTAAGACATGATCATACAAACAGCACAGTTCAGTTGTCACAGTCCACTACGGTCTTAATCAGCCTAAGCCTAACATGATTAAAACATGGTGCTGGGCAATACTGGGCAAACTATCTGAGATAGATGTAGACATTTGAATGCTTAGATCACTATATTGAAACCCATGCAGAGTTTTTTACAATGATTTGCAGAGCTTTCTGCATTAGCACATGTGTGATGAAAGCTTTATGACACCAAAACAGGCAAGAGTCGCAATGGGCAAAAGGGCTGCACTCTTATAGAGATGAAGAGACATTCCTTTATGTTAAACATTTTGTCAGAAATAGACATTATTTGATATTTAGAAAATGCAGATATTTTTAAAGGGCAGTAAACTTATATGTGGATCAGTTTGGTGCCTCATGAAAGGAGTTTTTACTGCTATACTGCTTTTAATGCTAGTGTGCATGTAGTCTAGACTATTTTGGACTGATCTTTTATACAGCTCTTGGAAAAGCTCTTGGAAATTAGTTTAGGTCAGTTTCTTAGACTAACTAAGAACTTAGTTGGGCAACTGTGTGAGTGTTAGCACAGTTACTGAAAGAGAGTAAACAGGCAGGAACCCACACCGGCAAGATCTCACCAATCCAAAGTCACGAATTGTGTGAAAGTAAAATGCAGGATGAGCGCACATTCAACAACAAGTATTGCCAAACAGAAAAAGAGTGTCAAGAGTAGATGAGTGCTTCAGATCAATGACCATGCATGTCCTTTTTTCCAAAAGATTTTCCAAAAGAGTGTGCTGTTACCTCCCCCTCTGTGGACGGCTCTATATCAGAATAGCGCTCTTCACAGATGACATCATCGATGAGCTGCAGGGAGCGGGCAGGGATTTGAGGAAAGGTCCTGCTGCAGTTGTAGGCAAAATAGCGGTACGGCCTCCAGGAACGCCCAAAATCTGCAGAGCGCTCAATCAACATGCCTGCAGGCCTGAAGGTCTGGGGAGAAATGCTTGGATAATTAAAAAGTTTGCACACAGGGGTCTGACATAATGAATTTTTGATTGATGGTCGTTAACATAGTATGAAACTATTCCTCCATGTGATTTAAACACAACAGCTCACCTTAAACTTCATGATGAGGTGAGTGAAGTGGAACTCTGCCTCCAAATTGAGCCTGATACTAACACTCTCCTCTCCTGAGAACACGTGAAAATGCAATTGATTAGAAGCCCATGTACCAAAGACAATGATTTCAATGCATTTTCTTGTGCTCAGAAAAGAACAGAAAATTTGCTGACTCAAAACACAATTACAATAGAGGTCAATGGGCAGTTGCTGAATTCTGCCAGAAAACATTTATGCAAAAATTAGTTTTGTATAACATTTTCATGAACTCCTTAGTCAAGAGCATTGTTGCATTAAGCTGTAAATCAGCACCTCCACAATGAAAAGCACACATGCAAACACAAGCACATTTACACTGGATGGTTTCATATTCAGATTCAAAGCTAAGAAAACATCTATGTATTCTTTTCACACTCACCATTGACAGACTGCCACCAGGTGAGATTTCCATTACTGTCCTTCAGGTAGATAACATTCTCCACACGGTGGCTGGTTCTGTGATAATAGGGGTGATAGGGTCTCCGTGAGTCACACCCGAAGCACTTATCGCCCTCCTACATTAAAAGAGACCGCAGCGTATGTATCAACACTCAAGCTCACCATATTCATTTTTCAAAAGGTCAAATAATAAAAGGCAGCACTGTTTTGATATGAATTAAACCCTCATACATTCTGAAATGCAAAGGAAACAACGTTGGTTCACAGCACAAGTTTGTTCACACACAAAGCTGTAACTAGGATCAGAATTTTAGTGAGGTGCATTTTGCAAAAGTGTGACCTACATCTCAGAGTGACTAAAATAACTGTCGAATATGAGAATTACACCAACTGTAAGTTACTCCTTTATATTTTTAACAAAATAATTGCTCTTTTTACCTATCCATGACTGTTATGCACCTTTTCTTCTCATTTGTTCTTTCCCCATTCCTCCATTCTACCATGAACCAATATTACTGTCTCAGAAACTGATTTGACTCCTACCCTGTTTAAGTCTATTTAATGAACAATTTAACTTTATTTATTATGGGTTTATTTTGAGCTGAAAACATATTGAAACCTATACTAACTCAAGTGATCGTTTCTAACTGATTTCATTTTATTTACCTTTTTCTCTCTAACATTAAACATGTTATAAAAGGCTGTCTGTACCAAACCCCAGCTAACGGGAAAGGCCGCTACTCATACAGTTAACGAGACAAAATACAGCCCAATGGGCCTTATGATTTCTTAATAATGCTAGCTACATGATACTATACCATTAATATGCTGGTTAACAGCGAATGTTCTCATGCCAGTTATTTTATATTATGTGTTGGTAACAAAATAAAGCTTTAATTTCTCATCTAATCACTAGTATAGCCGACTATGAAGCTCATAGCCTAAACTGAGCAGCTACTGGAACTAAAGCATGCTAATTTAGCTAGCAATGTTGTGAGTGCTCCAAATAAAAAATGGATAATGGAGTTTGCATCTTACATTAATATGGAAAAATGTACATTAATATGTAGATTACGCTCATAAACTCTTACATTTTTACCATAGCTATGTTATATGTTAGCGTATAGCGTGTGTGCTGCACACCTGAACATCTCAAGAAGTCAGTCACTCTGGTACTCAGGGCTGTAGCGGCTCATATAGAGATAAACAGAGCGGGCAGTTCAGTCTAGGGCCGAACCACAGCTGTTCTGAGGTCAGCTGAGAACCTCTTACTGTTCACTGTGTAGTTTAATCGTTTTTTTTACACTGAATCTTGCAGAACCCATCAGAAACTTCCGAGGACCTTTAGCTAGTTAGCTTGCTAACTGAATGAAGCAACTGCGGATAGCAATGGTTGCTAAGCAGTAATTGGAGGGTTTAGAAAATAACGGCAGGTTTTGTTTGGCCATAATTCAGTGACAGAGCTCACAGAAATCATCCCAGAAATGTAGCATAATAAATATTCTGTCCCCACTTGATGGGGTGGCCTGTGATACTGTGGCTGCGCCGCTGAGTAGACTGTATTATCATGATGGAGCTGTTTCTACATTTAATCTTATTAATGGAGGAAAGTGAAAAACGCTTCTGAACTACAGAGGACCTTGGTGTCTTCACAGCCAGTTACGACCATGTTCACACAGGGCCAGTCAACCACGTTTGTGGTCACTGCAAAATTAAGAAAGCGTGTCATATCTTGGACTAGGAATGAAAATGTACTGGAATTACTTTAATAAATGTAATTGGAATTACTGTATAAGAGAATTCCCGGTCTAAAAGTTTAATGGTGATACCAGAGTTACTGACATTTTACTAAACTTTCCATCATTTATTTATTCATTTATGTTTGTTTATAATGCAACTTACTTTTACTAGCTGCAAATTAGGCCACAGATCCATACTTACGTCTGCAAATGCTGGTTGCATTATTAAAGCAATAAACCACTTGAGGCCGTGAGCTAAATGTTATCTTATTACAGTTAATGTGGTCTGACATGTTCTGCTTAAAATCTCCCCAAGCTAGGCAAAAACACTGCAACTGCTTTAAATGGCTCATTACTTTTACAAAACAGTAACAAAATACAATAAGATAAAATAAACTGTTCAATAAGTATTGAATTTATTTTAATAATAATTGCAATAAACAGTTATTCCACTAACCAAGGTACTTCATTATCAATAGGCTATAGTTGCCAAGCCTACAGTCAAAGATTACTTCATAATAACTTTTTTCGTATCAATGGTTTAAACAGAAATGACATGAGAGATCACATGTGTGTGCATAGTATTTCACAATGGCTTTAAATGTGGCACTGCCAGATTTTAGAACAAGCATTATCCATTTTATAAGTGCATTTTTACAATGGAGGAAGGTTAAGAACTTACCAAAATAGATCAGGCTAACTAGCTAACCATGTTTATGATCATAAGGCAATTGAAAGACTTTGCAATTATAAATTTGCAAGTGGAAAATAGGACTTATACTGCAAATTCCTGTGGGTTTGTTGTCACTGTAAAAAAGAAAATGTGGGTTGGAGTCCCAATCCCAAGAAATGCCCTAATAAGAAGGAGGGGCATCAACTGGGTCCAGCTGGGCCTCCTGAATCAGAGTCCTGAGCCAAGCAGAAAGCTTAAATGGAATACGGCCAGATCACTTTGTTTTAACTGGGTTGTTGTCCAGGGTAACAAAATCTCCAACAGTGACCTGGCTATGAGGAGCTTTAAGGCTTAGAGGTAGTGAAACAAAGTGAAAGACTTTATTTTCAAGGGCTTTTAAAGGCCACACAGATACTATATCAGCTTCTTACATACAGTATCTTTTGCAGACTTTTGACCTGCTTTTCACTGCTCTTTACAGTATGAATGCACTAATGCAAGGGCGGCAGTACAGTAGCAGCTGCTTCTGCTCCTGACCCTGCTTCTTTTATAAGGGTGAACAATAAGGTATTCAATTTTCATTATTAATTCATTATGTTCAGAATTAAAGTATTTAAGAAAGAACAGAGGGAAAAATGTTCAAATTAAATTGATAAAATAAGATAATAACATAATGGGCTGATATCCAGTCAGCTACTTGTTATACCCAGTTTATGCCGTTACCATATATACATATATATATATATATATATATATATATATATATATATATATACACACACACACACACATATATACAGGCAGACATGCACGTGTAGAACCACTTTCTTAAGGCATGTGAGAGCAAGCTGATGATAATCGGTGGCTTTCTTTGTATTTAACTGGTCCACTTTAGAAATGAAATGCAATACGACACTGGTGGTGCCACAGATTTTAAAAGTAAATGGCCAAATGTGACTCATCAGAAACACTGTATTTTTAAAACGTGACTAATCCTCCATTAAACCTTTTACTGACATGATTTCTTGAGCCCAAAATGAGTCATAGGCACATTAATTAATTACACTAAGCCAATAATGAAAGAGGTAGATATTCAGAGTTACTAAGGAGAAACCAAAAGAGAAGGGATGAAATCTGCTGAAAGTGAGTAATGAGGGGGTAGTTACGGAAGCTCTGAACATGAGTGAGTTGACAGGTAGTTGAAAGACTACACCTGGACCAATGAAAAATGACTGCTACCACATCCCTATGTGTCTGGAAATAGTGGCGCCTCCAGGCAGATAGACATTCACACACACACACACACACACACACACACACACACACTTGCAGAAATCAACATATATTCTGTTTTTCTTACACAAATGTGTAGCCTACATCTGCAGGAATCATCATTTATAATCTCAGGGTAAATATTTATATATTTTTAACCCCCCCTTTACTTTGTGTGAATGAGTGGACCAATGGAAACTGTTTAAAACAAGTCATTAAAGTTGTTGTTATGTTACATTACTTTAATAGATGTTCTATAAAGGTTTTACAACAGTGGTGTAATAACACAGAAACAGTGAGAAACAGAAAACAGTTACAAGCATCTTATAGGGTGTTCTGAGTGTTTATTTGTATGGAGACAGTAAATTATATTAGTGCTAGGCCTTCGGTTCAGGCCATCAATGTCAAAACCTGGTCAAAAATAAGGGAAAAAAACACCTCTAGAATAATGCTGATTTCTGCTAGTGCCCCTACAGGACTCTAGTATTATGTTACTGATATACTAAAGGTGATTCACATGAATCATGACAGACTGAAACGCACTGGTTAGACTGATTGGTGTGTCTAGAACTTCTGAAACACCTACAGTGATGTTTTTTCGTACAAAATCAAAACATGATTGGACGATTCCTCTGTCAATTCCCAATCATCTTAGTAGTTAATCTGACATGGAGGAGAATGCACTTGGCTGTATCTACCCACATACCATGGAGAAAAAAAAAATCCTTATTGGATCATTTTCCTTTGGGCATTTCAAAAACTTAACCCTTTCTTCCAACCAAAGTTTAAAATTTAAATTATGAGCAATACTGCAAAACCTACACAATTTTTAGACAACAAGCATGATTACATAAAATAAAAATGAACACAAAATTAGAGAAAATATCTTTAAAGACTAAACAGCCCTGAATGTTTTTCACTGACTGTATGTCTGTGTTTCATGTTCTGATCATAGCTTTTGAAGTGAGTTAAAGTAAGCAGAGCCAGCAGGCACACCAAACCTCACAACACAATACAGACCTGTTTCACACAGCAGACAAGACCATGCATGCAGAAGTGGAAAAAAGTATGGAAGAGGAAGAAAACATGCTACACTGTTTACACAGGATGAGATCAGCACACAAAACAAGTAGTGCACAATGCTGAAGCATGCTCTCAACAAATAGAAAAGAAAAAAGAAAGACCGAAGGAAACTGTGGGCAGTTATGGTAGATGGCACTGATATGTGTGTGAATATTTAGTTATTTGACTCTGGCTTGGTTTACCTGTAGATGGCTGACGATGCAGAACTGCTCTGGCACTTCCAAGCCGCAGGTTGAGGTGGCTGTTAGGTTAGTATGTCGTCCAATCAGCAGGTTCCCTGTAGCTGGGTAACAGCTTCCTCCTGTGCAGCCATGAGGACCTGATGGAAGCTCCTGTGCCACGGTATGGACAACTACAAGCGAGACAGGAGTATGTAATTAGCAATATGACTACTAAAAATGTATGAAAATCAGGATAACACAATATAAGCTGTACTCCAGTTTTCATTTACAACCCAAAAATACCTCTCTATGTTCCACTTGTCCAATACTCTCAAGTGTAGCATAGAGAGTAAGATAGTTTTTTTTTCGTACTTTGCTTTTTGGAACTTCAGAAATATAAGGGTAACAATTTACAACAAAGAAAAAATAAAGAAAACAAATAAAATAAAAAAATGAAAATGAATTTTTCACATTGGCAGCATGTAAACTGTATTGTGAAATCACTGTATACTGTACTTGTGGTGTAATTACACCATAGTGTGTGGTGTAGTTATACCATTTAAATGTCAGCCATAAAATATACTCGTACAACAGAAAGAAACACATCAATTAGATGCTTTAAAATGGGCTTTAATTAATATGATTGTCAAGCAATCAGGGAAATGCAAGCTGCTTTAGTAAACTCCATACAGCCCGCAGTCCCTGTTACATGAGCCCCATCATAATTTTTACTGCAAAGGTGTGGCATAGAAAATAAACCGCTATCCAATAGGCCTGTTCATAAAGTTGGGGGCAGGGATTTGTGCATTAAAAAACATTCATCAGCTCTCCTGACATTGCTTCATACTCGGAGTGCAAATTACATACTGGTACAACCCTGATGCAAGTTGGAATAAGATCCCTTAGGCTCTGTGATACAGAGGGCACTGCTTTGTGCTACACACAGCTGAAGAACTGGAATGGGATGAATACAGATCCTGTTTACATTAGGGCTACATAATATATAGTTTGTTAATCATTATTGCAGTTTATCATTATTGTTGATCATGACTTTCATGATCATAATTTTATGACCAATTCTAATTTTTTTTACAGCCAAACTGGCCAAAACCCATTTTTGCCCACTTTTTTATAATTCTTTTTTTTTAAAAACCCAATTCTCAAAATAGTTGCAATATAAATGACATTATCTACTCTTTTATGAACCAAACTGGCATTTTAAATCCTTAAATGAAAAATCAGTTGCCTATTTAAATAACATTAACCAAATAAAGTGCAACATTAAAGGAGGAGGGATCTGCAGGAGTCATGCATATTATAGCAGTTTGGTACAGACGTAGCAGCAACAATCACATATACTTGGCTCATGTTACTTACACCATATAATTGCATCATACATTTGCCTAAATAGAAATAGTAAACTGGCATAATGCTGGTCACATGTTTGGAGCAAAAAGCTGTCAGTCCTAACTTCGCTGATTTCGATTAATAATGATAATAATAATAACAATAATAATAATAAAAGTAAAATGTGCCATGCGTATCAAATCATTCACAAGATTGAACAAATCTAAATAATACCAATCTGTCATGTTTATAAAATAATACTACTGGGTAAATTGCAATTGCAACATGCAGCAATATAATCATAATAATGTATTTTGTCCATATCATGCAGTCCTAATGTTCCTAACATCAGTTGCCACTATGTTTCATTTTACAGAGTGTGATCCGGAGCTGTTAACAGGCAGGTCTAAAGCAGCAGAGGGTCAGTGAACTGAGGATTTGTCCACTCTGCCACTCTAAAAAGGACACGCTGAGGTTCTCCACACATCACTGACTTTAACAATGCAGTCACCAGAGGGGAGAATAATGGGGCAGCGACAAAGAGAAGGTTAAGATGACAGAGAGGATGAAAAGGAAAATGCCACTGGAGGAAATGTGAAAAGCGGTGGAAAACATTCACAGTACTGTGCAAAAAATGCATTTAATTTACAGTCAAAGCAGCCATCAAGTATGAGTTGTTTTGTAGGAAACATTTCCAAGAAGATTATGTATAGAATATTTCATTTCCATAAGGAAAAGAAATTTAAAAACAGAAGTTGACGATTAAATGATTATGTAGAGTCGTAACAAACATGCAGACTCCTAACAACCATGCAATTTGGTGGCAGACCACCAAAACTGTCACCATCAGATAAACTTTACTTAATTTTTTTTTATCTTTGAGAGATTAAGAAAATCAAGCTCCACTCTTGCTTCAGATCTGAAATAAAACCACAGGAGTTTCTGTTCATCCTTCCACTGTGAGAAGGCAACTCAGCGCTATGAGTCTGAAAGGTTGTGTAGCTGTCAAGAAGCTGTTACTGAGAAAAGAAAAATGGCAAAAAAAAACAAAAGGCAAATCACACAAAGAAGCTGCTGGTGTTGCCGGAACAATGGACTGACCACCCCAGAGTCCAGACCTCAACATCACTGAATGTGTTCGATTACTAGGATCATGAGAAGCAAAAATGCAACCAACTCCTAAGACTGAACATTGTAGGTATATAAATATCCCTGCAGATTTCTTTGAGGAACTGAAAGCAGTTGCGGGGAAAAGAACGAAAGCTGTAAAAACAGCAAAGAATGGGCAAACTAATCACTGAAAAACTGATATTATAAGCAGTTGTTGCGGCTTCTGTGTAATTGTCTCTTAAATATACGTCTTCTGCCTTTTTTCTGATGCTAAAAAACAAATAAATTGTTTACTGGTAATAGATCGACTGAAGTATAAAGAGAGCTAATGCTCTCTACACCGAAAGAAAAACTATGACAGCTTGACAGCTTATCACCCACACCAAATGAAATAAAAATACCGAAACTCTATTTAGCCCAAACATTGAAAACTCAAGGCCAAATCTAACAGCCCTGGCAGACATTATAGCAAAATTTAATACCTCGGCCCTTTTGGGCCCTTTGGGTACCTTTGGGTTACTGAATTTATACATATACCCTATATTGACACAGATAAGGCCACTGATGCATGCACACTCACACATGCACTGATTGTAAGATATGGTAAATGATTTAATAGCCCTGCCCTTTTCCGCCTTGTTGATGTGTTACAGATAAACCCGCAGGGCGACTATATTGAGACTTGGCTCATTTTTAAGTAAAAGATTTAGCCGGAACACATTCCATAAATTCCGAGGGATAATAATAAGACAAGATGTCAAACTGAAGTAAATCTTACGTGGTTGTGAACAGAGGGCCTTGAAAGTAAATCTTAGTAGCTCACGTACAGTAAACCTGCACATAATGCTTTAATAAAAATGCCTGACCTTTGGAAGGCCAGTCTGTACACATCCGACTCGCCCTGAGTAAACAGGGCAGAGCATGGCCTGGTGAGTGTGAATGCCTGAGAGGCATGGGGGCTCTGTTGCCTAAGGGCATTGTCATGTTTTGCTGCCCATTCAACCAAAAAATGCAAAATATGAACACTTGCATTCTTAATTTCAAATAAAACTTATTTTGAATGAGTGTAAAAAACCCACAAAGCTAGGATGAACTAGATGAAGCTTTTTGTTGTGCTAACACTAAGATGGTGGCAAATGCACTGATGTTTGCCTTTAAATTAGCTACAGTAGCATAGTCCTGCTCAATATCCTGGGGTAACCATATTCTGTTTTTTTAAAAAAGAAAAACACTGGAGGCAAGAGGGCAGCATGGGGCAGACTACAGAGAGCAAATGCCAACATAACAGCAAAGCTGTTTTTAGAAATCCTGTCCAGATGTGTTTTTAGGTGCCCGAAAGAGGAGGTGTTCTGGAGAAAGAGGACATAAGAGGATGTTTTTCTTTTTAAAAGTATAGCATTTTAACTTGAAAATTCAAGAGAATTAAAACTCCAACCTAATTTACGAGGCTGAATGGGATTTTTCCTAACATTCTGTTAAGCTAGGCTTTACTGTAACTGAAATGGTTCCTTACTCCCTCATTAGTTGCGCTGTACAGGGCACAGATAGTTTACTAAACAGTGGCAAAAATGCATGAATCAATAAAGGACTTCAGAAACTTTCTCATGATCACTCTGCATCAGTATTCACCAGTTAGTCTACATACCAACAAACAAACATTACCACCAACATTGCTTGTAAGCTTCTAATTCATAGAAATGGGCAGGGGACAAGTAAACTCTTTGACTAGGGTACACATTCAATTATTAAGTCTTTCATTAAGTCCATGATTGCAGTAATTTGCACTTATCAGTGTTTTTCTTATATGATGAGCAGCATAAGGGTCTTTGTTTTTAACTGTACAGAGCTGCTGTTTTTTGTAGAGCCAAGAGAGCCTGAAAAGTATCATTTCCAGTGACTCAGCACCCACTGTTCATGTATCAATCCTCTGTCTGTTGCTTGGTAACAATGCACTATGGTATACATTCAGTTGATGCAATGATCTGTGGTGCTTACTACAAATTACGAGTGTATTGTGGGAGATTGTAGTGACCTCAAAATCACCCTGAAATTGAATTTTACGATTTGGACACTAAGAGAAAATTGGCCGAGGTCCTCAATAGTGCCCTAAAACGCAAATAGGGATCCACAGCCCTGTCTAACCTTTCAGCAGTTGCCATGAGTAAACTCTTTCAAGCATGGATGGGCCAATTCTCTTTCATTTTCTCTTTTTCCTAATGCCACTAATGCGCAAAAACTCTCTCCCTCAGTGCAAATCACCAATACTGCACTAATGGGCTTTTAAACAGGCTGAAAAAAATTCAGTGAGCATGCACACACATTCCATTTACATTGTGTAGGACACTCCAAGCGCAGCGGGTTCTCCATCATCATTCTTAGTACAAATTTAAATAACTATTTATGGGTATGTTGAAGTATATAAAGAGTAGGGAATGCTCAAGTTTGCTCAATGCTCCTTTGCAAACACCTTCCATACAACTCCATGACTAAGAGCATGTTTGTTCTGAAAAGTAGTCTTTTAAAGCAATTTGCTGTGAATTTAGCTTGATAATTACAGGACTGTGGTCTAAAAGACTTTCATAAGCATGCAGACCTGATCTGCCATTACAGGCCACACACACCAGCACTTCCCATTGAGCAAAGTCGCACAACACACACACTTTGACAAAGGCCATGTAAAATAATTCTTCCACATAGTTTCTCATGTTATGACTGGCAAAGGTGACATAGTGAT